TTTCTTTTTATATCATATATGAGAAGATTTCCTGTCGTTCTCTGTTCTATTTTAATAACGTTTTTATTTGTTTTTTTTTGATTATTATTATTCTTTCTATTATTATAATAACTTTCTGCTTAATTTAATTCTATTGATATAGGATCATTATTTTGCTGATTTCTACTATATTATTATTATAAGTAATGATTATTATTATATTTACTTGAAATTTCTAAAGATCTATCATGATTATATATAATAATATTATAATAAATAACTAATTTTTAAATATCTTTTAAGCTTTCTAATATTTAATAACTTATCTCTATCTTTGTAACTAATTTTAAATCTTTTATAAAATATGTAATCTGATCTAAAATACTTATATCTGTAATTTATCTAATTATATTTCTGAATTTTATGTTATAATCTTGAACAGATCCAATTTGGTAAAGAAAACAAAGTTATCTACAGAGATATTACTGATAATATGATAATTAAAATGCTTTTTTTAATATTATAACAAAGATTTCTCAGTTATCATAAGATATAGTATTATTATTAATCTTGCATTTATTAAAATATCAATATAGAACTATATTAATCAAAGAGATGATAACATATTATATTTATATCTTTTCATTTATAATTTCTTGAATTAGAAATATAGTTTTTACTTATATAATCCAGATAAATATATTTTCATTTAATTCTTCAGAATAAGAAGATAGTTTAATTAAAAAATGAGATGAAGGCTTAGAATCAGAAGAATTATTTTCTTTAATTATCTTGATAAGTTCAGTTATACTCTGTATAAATTATATGAATTGTTCTGAATTCATCTTAATAATATTTATTTTATTAAAACTAAAAGATATATCTGAAATATATAGTATATGTAATATATAAAGTATAAGATATTAGAGAGTAATCTTTATAATAATTATGTCTATTATTATCAAGTTATAAGATTATTTTATTAATAGTTATAAATAAGATAAAATATAATATAAATAGTTTTAATTTTATAACTTATAATTATTTTTATTATTTAAAAATATTCAGATCTGAAGTAAAAATACAGAACAAACAGATTATATTTATAAGAAAGAAATAAATATGAAATGCAAATAAATTAATAAAGAATTTCTAATTTAAATTATATATAATTAAACAGAATTAATTAATTTAATTCATATTTCTAAAGAGCAACTAATCATAATCCAATAAATAATAATATAATAAATAATTATAAATAATAATATAAATAATAATTAAAGAGAACAAATAAAAATATAAAGAATTATTAAAAGAAATATCTAATTAAAAATATTAATTAACTAAATTAATAATATAGATATATATAATAATTATCTATATAAAAATATATTAAATATAATGTATTAAATATATAATAATCATCTGTATATTCAGAATGAAATTAATCTTTAAGAAAAAGTAAAATAAAGCTAATCTATAATACAAATAAGCTAATTTATAATACAAATAATACAAAATAAAGATCTAAATTAAAAAAAGATAATCTAATCAAAATTTTTATAATAATTTTATAATATACTTTTAATATAATATAATTATTTAATAGATAGAAAATTATAATAAAAAATATTATAAAATAAATATAATATTTATAAGATCAAACTTTTTAGCTATTATTCTTTTAAGCTTGTTATGAAAAAATTCTAATAAATTAATTAAAATAACTTATAATAAGAGAAACAAATATTATTATATTCAAAATATTTATTTTTTTATATTTTTAATATAATTTCAATAATATAATTAATAATGTTAGATATAAGATAAGTAATAATAATATTATAAATAATTTCTTTATAACTAATTCTTATTCTTTTATATTTAATTAAAATTAATTAATTATATTTTACTAAATGATAGATTTTGTATAGTTATATATGTATTACATATATTATATAAAAAATTATATCATAGTTTTATTTATTATATATAATTTTCAGAAAAGTATTTATAATACTATTAATTTTTATACTATTTTGATCAAAAAATATATTAATAGTACTAATAAGATATAAGTTTATAAATTATCTTCAGTATTTTAGTTATTATATAATTATCTTTATTACTTATAAGAAAATAAATACTGATATTTTAGTATTTATAATTATTATGAATATATAATATAAAAAGATATCATGAATATTTATTAGTATTATATATAAAATTTATAAGTATTAATTATTCAAAAAGTTATAATTTTTCTAATTATTTAGAATTTAAATAAAATCTTGAGATAATTTTTGCATAATATTATATATATTTATATATATACTTATATATATATCTTTTTGTATTGAAAATTATTTAACTTATAAATTAAAAAATTAAGAGTATTTTTAATATTAATTTCTAGATTATATTTATTAATAAGATGAATTATCAATAATTCATATAGCTTTTATTAGATATTTATAATTTCAATTCTATATAGATTTTAAATTATAATATCAAGATCTTCTTTATTTGTGATCTTTTTAACTATAATTATAATAATAGATAAAGTATATAATTTATTTACTTTATTAATTATTAATTTTTTAATAATTTCAGATTATTTAATCTTATTATTATTATTAATTAACTATATATAATTTAGCATATTTTTAAAATATTTAATTTTAATTATTTAAAAAATAACAATATATATTATTTTAATTTTTATATTATATTTATTAGAATCATACTTATTTTTCTTTATTTTTCTATAGAAATATCTTCTTTACATATACTTAATTTATTATATTTTGCAAGATAACAGATATAAATAATTTAAAAATCATTATTAACATATTTTTAACTATTATATTATATTTATATATTGAAAATAATGATTACAAGTTCTTGTAAAATTCTTTTTTTATAATCTTAAATAATATATTAATACTAAATAACTTTATATATTTTTGATTGATCATTTATAATATAATTAAAGTAATATTAGAAAACTTAAATATAGAAATAATAAATATATTATAAAATAAGAATAAATATAAAGCAGTAAAATAAGAAAGTTAATAAACTGAACTAGAAAAAAAAATAAATAAAAAATTATAGAAATATTAAGTATATGTATTAAATAAGTATGTGATAAAGAAATAAAATGAAGAGTATACAGTATTAGAAATGGCAAGTATACATAGAATTGATTTCTTATGTGCTTATTATAACACTTATAGCTTATATTGAGTATATATATTAAAAAAATGAAATAATAAGTAGAAATGATGAATTATTATAATACTTATAACTTACATTTGATACTAAAAACATATTTTTAATAATCTTAGCTCCTCTTCCCCTTCTCCTTCTCCTTCTTCCTTAAAAAAAGCAATGCTGTCTTGCAATAAATAAGATTTATCAATATGTTTACTATATCCTTGCAATAAACAAAATTTTTTTCTTTCGCATGTGAAATGACTTGCAAATCCCGGATCAAATCAACCCAGATCATATCTGAATTGACTCGATCCGAATTGCACTACCCGGCTTTAGTGTTCCTCCTGAAATGGAATTAATAATCTGCAAAAACTTTCAACACTGAAAATTTTTTTATTACAAATTTCGAAGATTTTAGTTCTCAAGTTACTCTTCAAACTTAAGAATGTAAATTAATTCGATTTACTCGCTATATATGCTTACAAATTAGAGCAAAAATTAACTTTAATTTACGATTGATTATGCAAGGCCTTCGTCCTCAAGACTTATAATAAAGAATTTACCGAAAAACCTGTCGGACACAAGGTTTCGACAGCACTTTGCATTAAAGGGTGAAGTGACAGACGCCAAAGTCATGCGAACAGCGCAAGTACAATAAAATAATTAAATAATTAGTTTTTTAGTTTTAGAAAATTAAATCATAGTTCTTATTTTTGATCTTTTTTTGAAACCATCAAAGAGACGGAAATTCACGCTGTTTTGGATTCATTGGATATCGCACACCAAAAGAAGCAGAATTCGCATTACAATATTTCAATAACACGTTTATTGATACTTCGCGGATTATAGTCGAGTTTGCTAAACCTGTGAGTTTATCATAATAAAAATGTTGTCAGATTAATTCAACTAAATTAATCAATCGAATTAAAAAAAAAAGGTAAATGATCCGTCACTTCCAAGACCGTGGAGTGCTCATAGTATCGGGTCTTCTGTATATCAACAACGTCATAACAGTAGTAACGACAATAATAATATTGGTAATAACAAAGATAAAAATTCTAGAGATAGTGACGATGCAGAAAATACAGATAATGATAACAAAAATCATAACGAGAAGAAACTCAGAGAATATCTTAAAGTCATGAAACCGCGCTCTAAATCTAAAACATGGGCAAATGATGACGCTGATTTAGTGAATAATGATATACAGGGTGAAAATGCTAAAAAAGAAAGAAAGAAAAAAAAGAGTGATATTGAGAAAAAGTCAAGTAAAGAAGTAAGTAGAAAATCGAGTAAAAGTAACAAGGAACAAAATGAAGAGGAAAGTGACGATGAATTATACGAGGACTTGAAGAAAAACGGAAAAATAGCAGATTCAAATAATAACACATTAAAGCAAGAACAAAAAAAGAAAAAGAATGGTAGTGAACTTTTTAATACAAAAAAATCTGATAAAGGCACTGAGAAAAGCGAGGTCAGTGATGATAATACTGCTGCTGATGATGATGATGATGATGATGATGATGATGATAGCAATGAAAGCGACGGCGAATCAATAGTGCAAAAGGAATTATCAGTCTCTGATATGGATTCGAAACGATCCAATTTAGAATCTGACGATGATAATGAATCTGAAGACTCTTCCAAGGATTTTACTGAAGATTATAAAGAATCACAAACTTTTAAATCTACAATCGATCGGAATAACAATGAATTGAATAACAAGAATTTATTACCTGAAAATCGACAACCACCATCACAACCACCTCATGAAGAAACAATAGCAGAAACTGGGAGACTTTTTGTTCGTAATTTACCTTATATTTGTACTGAAGAAGATTTACGAAAAGAATTTCATCAATTTGGTCCATTAGCAGAAGTATATTTTTTATAAGAATTTTATAATTGGGATGAATTAACTTGAGAAATGGTGGTAATGATTACGAATATTATTAGGTTCATATGCCAATAGATCGAGAGACCAAAAAACCTATGGGTTTTGCATATGTACTCTATCTTATACCAGAGCACGCAGTAAAAGCTTTCATAGAACTAGATAATAAATTCTTTATGGGTCGATTACTGCATATTTTACCTTCTTGGGAAAAGAAATCAAATTCTTTTACGCGTAAAGACCAAAGGGATGCAAACAAGAAATTAAGTCTGAAGAAGGAAAAAGAGAATAAGTTGAAATCTTTGGCTGCTAATGATTTTAATTGGAATACTTTGTATATGAATGTATGCGATAAAATTAATTTTTCGATAATGAAATTTGAAATATTATTTATTTTCTTTGGGGCATAACTGGATTTACTTTGCACTGTTTTGATTTGAATAGAGTGATGCCATTATGGATTCAATAGCAACTCGGCTCAACATAAAAAAATCAGAAATTCTGGATCCAGAATCAGAAAATATGTCTGCTCGAATGGCACTTGCAGAAACTCACGTAATACAAGAGACGAAACTGTTTCTCGAAAAACAAGGAATAAGATTAGATGCATTCTCCAGTAAAGAAAGAAGTGACACTGTCATATTGGTTAAAAATATCTCTTTTGATACTACGAAGGAAGAACTGTCGCAGCTGTTTGGATGGTATGGTAATATTGTGAAGGTATGTGTTTTGTGGACTTAATTCTGATCTTTGAATGAATGTGGATTTTATTTAATTTGTTAAAACATTTGTGATATAATAGTTTATACTGCCTCCTTCAAAAACCATAGCAATCATCGAATTCTTAAACCCGACTGAAGCAAGGGCCGCATTTTTTGGTCTTGCTTATAAAAAATTCAAAGGCGTTCCACTATACCTCGAAAAAGCACCGGCAAATATCTTTATTAAAGATCCAATTAATCCACTTTCTTCAGCCGACCTCGTTGAACCATCAACAACAAAAGATACTAAAGATGAAACAATCATGGATTTAGACGAGCCGGAAGTCGCCACTTTGTTCGTCAAAAATCTCAGTTTTAATACTACTGAGGAAAAATTATGTGCCGTGTTCAAGGAAAAAACAACAGGAGTCAGGTCGACTCGCATAAAAATGAAGAATGACCCCAAGAATCCTGGTAAAAAATTGAGTATGGGATTTGGATTTATCGAGTTTGATAGCGTGAAAAATGCAAAGAATGCGCTTAAACTTATGCAGGTATTTTCTTTTTATATCATATATGAGAAGATTTCCTGTCGTTCTCTGTTCTATTTTAATAACGTTTTTATTTGTTTTTTTCGTGTTTAGAATCACACGTTAGACGGCCATGCATTACAATTGAAATTCTCAAACTATGTAGCAGCTTCCGTTCCGAAGAAACGTAAGGAAAAAGAAGACCCAGGAGGAAAAGAAGTATCAACTAAAATTATCGTAAAAAATCTCGCATTTGAATCAACAAAAAAAGATCTAAGGGAATTATTTAGGTTAGTTTTCTTTAAAATATTAACGCTTTTCTTTTACTTTGATTATAATTGCACAATTCTATATAAACAAAAAACAGCGCATACGGACAAATCAAATCTCTCCGAGTTCCAAAAAAATTTGATGGCACCTCGCGTGGATTTGCGTTTATTGAGTTTCTTACAAAACGCGATGCACAAAATGTCATGGAAAATCTAAGCGCCACTCATCTTCTAGGAAGGCATTTGGTGTTGGAATATGCCGCGATGGCACGAGACGATGATGTGGAAGAGTTACGTGCAAAGGTTGGCCGTGATTTCGAAATGCGACAAAGGGGAAGTGATGGGCGAGCGACTAAACGGAAAAAAGTTGATTTGGAAGAATGGGCGAATGTGAAATCGGATAGTGAATAATGAAAATTTGTATATTTTTGTCTTCTTTGAGTAGTTTGATTTTTTATACTTCAAATTTGTAATTCGAAAATATGCGCTATTATACATGACGATATTTTTTATTAAGATATTCGCAATCGTAATTAGATCCATTATGCTATAAATAAAATTGAATTAAAATTTGAAAACTTGATTTTCGTTATAGCCCAATTTTTTGAGAAGACCCCTAAGACGGCCTTGAGACATATCTCGCGCTCTTCGTCCGGAAATGGATTTCATTAAACTATATTCATCGATGAAAAAATAACTTAGAATTGTTATTCAAAAAATATTAACTACCAATAAATAAAACTAACCCATCTGGCCCACAAACGAGAATCAGTATACTATTATCATCATCTTTATTTGAATTTTTATCATCGATATTACTCAAAGATGATGAAGATGGAGGAGGCATATTTTGTTTAATCATTTCACTAGTGATGTATCCAATACCCTGATTCCAACTAGATGATGATGGTGCATTATCAATTGTATAGTATACTTTGAATTGATCGGGATGCTTTTTTGACAATATATCGAGTTCTTTTCGTAATAATATTTCATCGATGGATTGATTTGCGTAAATTAACGAGATTTTGGTTTTGTCACTTGGAGTGTTTAATATGTGTTTGATGATTTGATACCTAAAAAAAAAGATGTTAATATACTGGAAATGATTACCATCTATTATTTTATACACAAACATTGGAGTAATTCCAGTTCCACCGCAAATCTATATTCAAAGATTAATGTCAAGTGTAATTAGTTATTAATAAAACAAAATTTAAACATTTAAGAAATCGATCTACCATTCCCAATGCTTTATACATATTCTCTCGATACTGGAATGTAATCACTGGACCTCTAATCTCCATAAGATCACCCACGCTCAAACCATGGATATACCTTGATACTTGCCCATTCTCATATCTTTTCACAAGTAAATCAATGTACAACAATTCATCATTTTTAACAATTGGGCTAATTGGTGTATATTCTCTCATGATCTGCAAAGATGGATCTTTGACATGGACACATGATGATACAGGAAATGGCTCTTGAAGTGGTGCTGATAGTTTTAATCTGAAAATACTTGTCGTTTTTGATTGTGGTATAATCTGATGTATTGGAGTTGCAGTGAATTTATCGGATGATATTGTAGATTTGACTGGAATTAAAGAGAATGATGCGAACGATTTATAAGTATCATCATTATTAATAAAGAAATAGAAAATGGATCCGGTGGCAAATAGTGTGGATCCAGTAATAATAAATTTTTGTATACGTAATTTTTTTAACGTATTTGATTTGGTGGAATATTGATGAAATTTATGAAAATTAACTTTATTACGATAAATTGTTGGACGCAGGAACAATGTCATTTTGATATCATGCTTATCTCCACTATAGAACAGAAAGTAAATAGTGTCACATGAAACATATGACCATATTATATAGACAACTAGACTTTGAGTAACCATATTTGATATTCAGGTGTCAAATTCGAAAATTTATTATTAAATTAAATACAGTCAGCACACCTAGCTCAGTCCCAAGTTTAAAAATAAATTTACCTCTATACATTTTTATCAAATTAGTCCTATGTTCCCAAGGGGGAAGGTTTGACTCTATATTGTGTTCGCATCTGATATGAAAAAAGCGAATGCTTAAATAACTGTTATTTATATATACATGTTATCTCAATTGATTTTGGCTCGTGATCCGAATTGTAAGTTTATGCGTATATATGTGTGGAGACATTGTGATAATGGTGATATTATAAAAGATGTGATCAAGGATATTTAGGATTCGATGTGTTCAGATTTATAAAAATTTCCGAATTTGTTACAAATTGAGAAAAATAATTATTGTAGCTCAACATAGTTGGCAGGAAACTAAAATAAAAAGTAACGATTAGAAAAATATGCTAATAAAACGCTAGAATCGAATTAAAAAAGCTACTTACGATCCCTTCAGCACCTTTACATGTTCCAGTCCACCAATCATTAACGCTATCAGACTTTTGCGTTATAGTGACGATGTCACCTTTATTGAAAGGAAGATCGCCCGACTGCTCACCGGCAAAATCAAATAGTGCAACAGCTGTAAGATGTTTAGAATTGCGTTTGGGTTTTGGAGCGATCGGAGGTTTTTCGATGCTTTGATCGTTTGAAAATGTTGTCGAGCGTCGCACTGTTTCATCTGATGTCTCATGGTGATTATTATTTGCAGTGACACTATATGGAGGCGGTTGACTAGATCTATAATTTTCACTGGCATTAGAAAATGAACTGTTTACATTATTATTATTATCGTTACTACCACTATGTCGTGAGTTTGCGGCCCATGTAGATTCTGATGATCTACGCGAGGCTCTATCGGTAAGCGCACGATAAAGAATGTCTGCTTGAGGTGGGGGCGCGACTTGTCCTGAAAGAAGTTCCTTGGCACTGACTTTACGATGATAGAATTTTGCATTTGCATCTTTACGCTCAATCACGACTGATCCCTCAATGGAGACACCTGAAACATTCAAATAATCGTGTCAACATCGTGATTTCCCAGTAATAATAACAAATTTCAACGTATGTATCATTTACCTGCAAATAATCCTTTAGTTTTACTGACATACGAGAATAATCCTTCGTAGTTAATGAAATGAACAGAAAGAATTCACTTAAGCACACGTAAATAATTGGAATCATAATAAATACCTATACGAAAATATAGCGGCAACATGTTTAAGAGATACTGACCCCGCACCCTCAGCCGTTCTGCCGATGGGACCAGCAGCAACTAGTCAAAAGAAATGATATTAAACTTCGTTGATTACATTCTGACAATTTATGACATAATATTTTAACTGCTATATAGTTACCTGAGAGATTGCCACCCAAAGTCACATTACCACCAGACATGAAGGATTTTACAGCATCTCTGCTATTCAAAACAATCACAAAATCTGTGACTTCGGCTCCAATCTGTCCACCAAATCCCTGTTTAAATACGGAAATTATATTATAAAATTTAATTGCGCGATTCTGAAACAAGATTGTTTTTGTTTAAGGGAAGGTACTAACCATACCACCAGTGCCGATTGCTGAAGGAGCGGACCATGCTATCAAAAGGTCATAAACAACGGATTCTAATTAGAAATTGAAAAATAACTATAGTATATTGACTATTCACTTGGCTACTTACATCCATCCTCAAGTCTAAGTAAGATATAAAAATTAAAAAAAAAAAGGTTTTGTTTTTCTTGAATCAAAATATTCATCAAATACTTTCTATAATGAATAATTACCTTGCAACAACCAAACCGGATCCAGCTCTTCCCGAAAATAAAAATCCCGCTTTAATAACAGTAAAGATAGCGAATCCCTTTGCATTTTGTAAAATATTAGAAGGAATCACCTTATCGGGTCCCTAAAATTAATTAAAATGTATTAATATATGTAAAGAAGTTCTATTTCCCGCGGGAAACGATAGATATATATCCAACAACTATTGATTAGTTTCCTACTTTTGCAGCAACTGGGTCTAAAAGAAGAATAAATTAACAAATGTCGTAATTTGTCAGGTTGTGCAAATAGAAAAAAGAAAAATAAGAATACATACCAATAAAACTATTCAGTATTTTTGCTGCTTTTCTGCATTCCCCTATTAAATGTTAAAGACGTTTTCAGGAATGTAACATCATTTTCTTCACAAGCAGACATAATAGTTCAAAACAGCTTTACCTGCAAGATCTGTTGGTAAAGGTGAATTAACCATTGTGTTGTCGGATAAAAATTAAATTATTCCGGTAAAAATATGCGCAAAATGAGGTTTTTTATATGAATAAAGCGGTTCTTCGGAAAAATATTCTATCAAAAAAAGGGATGGGTGACTAGAAAATCTCTATTCGTTCAATAAAAATTACCCAACTTGTTCTAGATATCCTTTTTGGAAAAACTGCTGATTTGAAAGCCTATATATAGGCGTAATAATGATTATTTCGTTGTTTTGTTTTAATCTATGCATGAACTATTTTTTTTAATTAATTTCGTTGCTTTTAACTTACACAGAGCTTAGTATAAAAAGCGTAAGAAAAAAGATTTCCAACAACAATAAAAAATGTCCATATGACTTAAGTTTTTGTGTTCCGAGACTCATTTTAACTAAAAACTATCAAAATTAAAGATATTAACAAAGTTGGCTTTGATATTTATTAAAATATCAATTACAACAGGTTTAGAAATTCTAATACAATTTACCATTTCTAAAGTACCCTAGCCATGGCGAAAAAAAAGTTACGGGTCATGTGATTCCGATCTATCCGAACTAATCAGATTTTTCCAATCCAAAATTCCAATCCAAATTCCGACCCAAACCCCAAATCATATTATTGTATTAAATAACAAACTTATAAACTC